GACCAAAGATGATCCTGACTCCATGACTATTTCTCTGCTCAAACTCATGGATCTGGTCCTTTTCAACATCATCACTCTTGTTTTCATCAATACCATCACTCTGGTTTTCAGCACTATCTTCACTTGGGTTTGAGTCTCTTCTCTAGTCTGTCTTTCAGCTTCTTGGTCATTGACTTGAGTGAACATTGAAGTTTCTTATAATGAAATAACAATAGGAAACTCAGCTGCTGCAGATGGGAAGTCTTCAAGTTGCATATTGATATCTACAAGGTTGTCCTTATCTAAATCATAAACCTTGGTTGCTTCCATATCCTCATTTACAGCACTTTGACCAACACTTCCTCGAGTATACCTTGGTGCAGATTTTGGTTTTCTTTTTCTAGGTTGAAGCTAAGTGTAGAAAAAGGATAATGGTTAAATATAAATGTAATTAAGCACATAGTGGTAATAAGTAAATGACATAAATAAAGCATGACTCCGTTTACCAGTTTCTCTTGGTTATTTGGATCTTCGGGACACCTCCTTGCATTATGGCCTTCTTTTCTACACTTTGTACAATGCATCTTAATGTGTGTCCTTACTACTCTTACTCCATCATTTGTCAGATCCACAACTAATTTCCTCCTCAATTTGCTTGGCCTTCCAGGTCTGGCAGAATACACAGGAGGAAGTAGGGGGATTTTCTCATTAATAGGCCACTCATCCTTTCCAGCCATTGGCTTTATAGTGCCAACATTTATCTTCAAATATGCTTCTTTTGTGTAACATGGGTGAACGTAAGCATCAGCTGGACCCCTTCCATACTTCAACCAAATAGCACACACATCATGCTTGCATGGTATACCAGTTAAGTCCCACAACCTGCATGTGCATATTTTCCTCTCTAAATCAACCCCATGTTGCGTACCACTCATTCCAGTAATTTCAATGTCATTCTCACCACACTGATAACCTATTAAACCTGCAACTGACTTCTCAATGTCTTGTAACTTTTTCACTATTCTAGGGCACAAATTCAGCATCGGAATCTGAATCATGTATGGAAGCATCATCAGACAAATTTGGATCGGGGTCAACCACTAATGGTTCACTTCCTATGTTCTGTCCTTCGTTGTTATTGTGCATACCACCATATTCAACTGTTGGATATATGTATTTCTCAAAATCTTCACATATGAAGTGCCCTAGATCGGAATCTTCATCACCCCTTGAAAAGTCTTCTAGCTCCTTTTCACTATAAGCAAAATCATTGTCTGAGGTGTCCTCATCTTATCTCCATTGTCATCAACTTCTTCAAATTCTTCCCATAACTCCACAATTTTACCCACATTACAATTACTCACAAAGGACTAGATTTCAGAGTCACCTTTCAGTTCATTTAGTGAAGAATTTGAATAGGAAAAGACTTTTCTTAACTTCTTTGTGCAACCAACTTTTTCTAGTTTCTCTTTCAACACAATTAACCCAAACTCATCCACATCCACATTAGAAAACAAATGTGTAGTACCTCCCATGTAAGATGGTCTGCTACTCTCACTCACTCTTTCTCCGTACCTCAACTTTAGAGTAAATATGGTTTCACATGGGGCTGCAATAAAAAAATTTAATGTGGTAGTTCAATCATTGTAACTAAAGGGAAAAGGAAAAATAACTGGTCCCATTTCTCAAATCCCAAAAAGTAAAGGCAAAAAAGATTCTTAGGAACAAAACCCTACCCTACCGAGCCCAAAGCGATACCCTACCATGTGCACTAAGAAATTACGTACTTAAGTTCAACAAACTTACCATTACCACCAACATTTGATGAAGAACTTTGTTGAGCACTTGTTCCTTCTCCATTCAATTTGCGCCCCATTCTGATGGCAAACACTCCAGCCGAACGTGTCCTCATTCACAGGTAAGGTATTAGGGTTTGACAAATTGACCAAAATCAGACCTTCGACCGGAAGAAATGGTTTAGTACCGGTGTGAGAGAGTAAGCGCAGGTAGGGGGAGAATGGCCTTGTGGGGCTTTTGGTCGTTTTAAGAATCTCAAATTACTCAAATAACCTTCCTTTTTTTAATAAATGATGAAAATGGCCGGACTTTTGATCGGAAGGACGACGGAGGGTGACGGGACAAAACGTAGGGACTAAATGTGGACAAGTCAAAAGTCATGTACGTAATGCAGAATTGGTATAATACTCAAGGGACGAAAAGTGGAATTTTTTCTTTTACTCTATTATCTGTGATTTGAATGATTCCACTTTACCCCTGTGATGATGATAGGTTTTGTTTCGAAGAAGAAGTCATAGCACCGGAGATAATGAATGTCATTGCATATGAGGGCTTCGAAAGGTTTGAAACTTTGAAAGACCTCAAACATACAAGCAATGGCAATCACGAAATATAAAGATCGGGTTCAAGCTTATGCCCATGAACTCAGCTTTTGAAGAAGTTAAGAGGTAAGGTGAAGGAGGGATATCACAAAGATTCTGTCTTTGATGAAGACAGTCATTGGATGATGTAGGGTGGAGATATCGGATTTTATGCGACATTGCTTGATGGGTACTTGCATAATAAATTCAGAGTTATTTTCATGAATTTTGGCACCCTTAGAAAAATATCCCGAAGGTGAGTTATTCTAGAAAATCAATGAGTATGGTTCTGCTAGCGTACATCTTTCTCTTTAAGATTATATGGATCCTTACACCGTGGATAAACATTCAACTATGTCAATATGAAAATCATGAATTGACTAAAATTGATGAATGGATACAGTTTTTCTTAGCATTATAACATTGAATAAAATTCACTCTGCATTTTTATTAAATATTGGGTTCATAAACCATTACTTAAATTATAATATGCAATTTTTTCTTTGATTTGTTTTTCTGCATAACTATAATTTTAAATATCCACCTTTCAATGTAAAATATTAATATTTTGATAAATTAGTTTTGGGACCCAAAACATTAAAAAAATAACTGAAAAAATGAAATCATTTTGAGAGAATTTTCAAAAGGCGAAATTCACAAAAATAATCCCAAATAATCCTTATTAAGAGGCTCCATAAAAATAATCTGCACTAGCAATGTAGTCCACAAGAATAAATTGGAATGAATTCAAACTAAAACCTATTTAATGCCCTCAACCCCTACATCCACTTTCTCATTCACCACTCTCCTACTTGGTTGACACTTTTATGTTCAAACCTCGAACCACATATGGCGGAAATTGTGTTGTTATTAAACGGGTTTTAGTTTGAATTTTCCCCGAGAAAAAGAGTGGGGAAGAGAAAAGTGAGATTAAAGATTGAGAGCATTAAATGGGAATTAATTTTAATCCACCATAATTTATTTTTATGAACATCATTGCTAGTTTGGATTATTTTTGTGAACTCTGAGTAGAGATTATTATTGTAAAATCTCTAAAGTAGAGATTATTCTCATGAATTACACCTTTCTTAAATAGGACTAAGGCTTTGTTTGCAACAACTTGTGCTTAACTAAAAGCATTTTTTGGGAAAAAGTGATTAGTAGTAAAAGTTGGTAGTGTTTGGTAAAATAAGTGCTTTTTGTGTAATAGAAAAAGTAAAAAGTAGATTCTACACGAAAACCGAGATAGTAAAAGTTGGTAGTGTTTGGTAAAATAAGTGTTTTTTTTCTTAAAAAAGCCAAAAGTACTTATAAATAGAGTTTGCAAACAGAGCCTAAAACAATATAAAAGTGCACAAATAGGAATTTTATATTTTATAGGATTATATTAAAAATACACTAACATGACAAAATTATCCATAATGAAACAATATTAACTTTTCCTAACTCCTAGATGGCTATAGTTCGACAGTTCGATGATGCCATACGTGTAAGGACTAAGGGAGTGTTTGCGATTGCTTGTACTTTTTTAAAGTGATTTTTTAAGAGATTATTGGAAAAGTGATTTGTAGTAAAAGTGTATAGTGTTTGAGAATAGAAGTGATTTTAATTAAAAGATAGAAGTTGAAGGGTCTGTTTGCAACAGCTTCTGCTTTTAAAAAAATGCTTTTTTTAATGAAATGGGGAGAAGTGATTAAATAAAAGTTGATAGTGTTTGAGAAAAAAGTGATTTTGAAAAGTAAAAGTGGATAGTGTTTGGTAAAATAAGTGCTTTTTGTGTAATAGAAAAAATAAAAGCACTTTTGACACGGAAGCCGAGAAAAATAAAAGTTGTAGTGTTTGGGAAAATAAGTGTTTTTTTAAAGCCAAAAGCTAAAAAGTGCTTTTTTAAAAGGAGTTGCAAACAAATCCAAAGTGTTTGATAAAAAAGTGATTTTTGATAGGACATTTTGTTGAAGTACAAAACAGCCCCTGCATAAATGAATTTGGGATGTACATTGGTTTTGTTTTCCGGTTCTTTCCTCCGGGGGCGTCATACCCTATTCCCTTATCGCAAGTCGGTATTCGGTAAAGCAGAAGCAGACAAACTCACATAGCTTGACATGTTTGCCCACATCAAATTAATATCTCTAAAGAAACTGGAGTAGCACCAAGATTGGATGGAGAGTGCCGAAAAGCTACCAGCAAAGGAAGATGGGACGAGAAGCGATGGAAGAAGATAACTGAGAAAGAAGGTTTAGTTAAAATATACGAAGAGCAATAGCAGGCGGAGGAAGAGCAATGGGAAAAAGAAGGTTTTGTACGAAGTGGCTGGAGACATGGAATTAAAGAAGCTGTAAGGTGAGGTACAACCATGGCAGACAAAGGGATGAGCGAGGATTGAGGAACGAAGCTGACAGGGAGGGAGAGATAATGGAAGGGTAGTTTGGGTTTAATAAAAATATTTAACATAATAAGTTTGGGTTTTTTACAAGAATATTACTAAAATAAAACATATTTACATAAATATAACTATTCATTACTACAATGTAGTGTTATGGTAATTAAAGCTCAAAACTTGAACATGAATTACTATGATTTCATTACTACTCTAGTCACTAATCATACTTTTGTAAATCATCTTTATTTTGGTCATATTTATATAATTATTTCAATAAGTTTCCATGAAGTTTGAATTATTTACAAAAATACCAAAAAGCTATTAAAAGCATCCCCCAACCTGCTTTGAACTTCTAGCTTAAAAGTGTTTAAATTAATCTAAAATTTGAGTTTGCAAACACTCCTTTTGGCTTTTCTCACAGAAAAAGCTCAAAAGTGCTTTTGAGAAGTGTTTGCAAACACTCCCTAAGCCTCATTGTACGGACTAGGCGTCATCCACACTCTAGCAAGTCTGTCACTGTGGCTATCCCACAAGTTAGTGAATACCTCCCGCAGAATGTCATCTTGATCTGATAAAAATAACGGCATGTTAATGAAAACCTAAGATTTTTAGCTAATGAAAATATAGAAATTCTAGATGGAAAACAAACGCCATCATATTAAAAATGACATCTTTATGTGTTAAATTTCATAAAAAATTACATCATTTGGCAAAGAGAGAAAGGGTAAAATAAGGCAATCTATTACGGAATCATCACATAAGGTCATGTACTCAATAAAGTGTCATATAAATATGTATACTTAAAAGCAATCGGATGAGTCAAAATGACTCGTCGAAAACCTCATAATCCAGATTTTAGATTACATGCTGTTATGTTTGCCTTGTATTTAAGCAAATCCTAACCAAATATTTAACGTCAGTCTTATAATCTATTTTAAAAAGATAGGGAAACTTACACTAAAATCGCAATTACGAGTTTGTCAACATGTCATTAGGACTCATCTGACTGCTTTTTATAAGTAAACGTAATTATATGACACTTTATTGAGTACATGAACTTTTGTGACAATTTCATAATAGTAGATGACCTCATTTGACCCTTTTCTCTTTGACAAACAAATCAATAATATTATTTCTATCTTAATAAATATAATGCTATATATAAAAGTTGCATTTTGTCTTATAACTTAATTGGCATTCTCAGATTCGAAAAGTGGCATTTGATAGAGAGAAAAAATTAAGAATGATTTAGAACTACACAAACATTATCAAATTTGGTATAGCCGTATGGGACAATCTCAGTGGGATGGACTAAAAAATAAAGATGAGACAATTTAACAGGGTGGAAGGAGTAGTAATATGACATTCTCAGGTTGGAAATTAATCAAAATTGATAAATAATACACAATCAAACTCAAATATATATTTCCATCAGTTTATGTTCATAGAAATCTGGCCTTTCATGTGAAATTTCCAATCCATAGTTTTAATTACAACTTCAAAAGTTCACAGATTAATTAACAGAAAAGAAATAGAAAACATAAGACATGGAAGAAGGAGAAGGGAGAGAACTGGAGAAGGAGAAGGAAGATAAAAAGAAGAGGAAGAAGAGGAAGGAGAAGGGGAATGAGGGAACTTTTGTGATCGATGATAAAAATATAATCTCAAGTCTTATTTAGGGAATATAAAATTTAAACTCTTACTCCATATTTGGAAAATGTAAGTATGTTTAATCTCATTTAACGCAATTTATTAAAGTGGATATCAAAGTGTATAGTTCCACCATTATGGGTATTTGATGTCAGCTATTCGAAAACTATCATCAAATATTTATTGTAGGAAAAAAGAAGGGTTTTTTACGAGTATATTACTAAAATAAAACTTATTTACATAAATATGACTATTCATTACTACAACGTAGTGCTGTGGTAACTAAAGTTCAAAACTTGAACATCAATTACTATGATTTCATTACTACTCTAGTAATGAATCTTATTTTTGTAAATCATCTTTATTTTGGTCATATTTATGTAATTATTTCAAAAAAGAAAACATTTCACGACGGTTAACTAAAAAGTAGACATTGTAAGTGCAAAAGGAAAGGTAGAAAATTCATGTAACAGTGTTTTACCTCAAACCCGCTTTAAATATTGAGATGGGGATTATTATTCTAGACTAGACTAGATAGTTAAAACAAGATATAATGATATACTCGTATATAGGGGAGGGTTCAAATACAAATCGGTCTTAATGTGTAAAATTAGAATCAATCTAAGTTGTCCAATTTTTCGATCTGATGTACTATAGTCCCTTATCTAATGCATTGTGTATTAAACCATTTCTGAAGCATTTTTTTCGAAAAAAGTGCATCAGAAACGGTTTAATGCACAATGCATTAGATAAGGACTATTGTGCATCAGATCGAAAAATTGGACAGCTCATATTCATTCTCATTTAACATGTTAAGACCCATTTTTATTTGAACCAAACTTATATGTATGTGTGTGACTAAAATAAAAATGATTAGAAAAGGTGACTTTGTAAAGTGTGACTAAAACAGTAGCTTTCAGTGATTGTTTATGTTCAATTTTAGATTGTACTGATCATGAAGTGATACACATAGGGAGTGTTTGCAATCACTTAAAAAAGCACTTCTCAGCTTTTAGCTTAAAAAAGCACTTATTTATCAAACACTACCAATTTTTACTTTTTCTCGGCTTGCGTGTGAAAAGTTCTTTTCCCCTTTGTATTACACAAAAAACACTTATTTTACCAAACACTATCAACTTTTACTTTTCAAAATCACTTTTTTCTCAAACACTATCAACTTTTCCTACTAATCACTTTTTCCTTACATTTACAAAAGTACTTTTTTTAAGCAGAAGCAGTTGCAAACACTCTCATAGTCACTTTAATTACTTTTTGCCCCCAATAAATTTCTTTGTTGGACCCGCCATTGCACATAACAATTGTTATATTTATAATAACACAAATGTTCCTGTCAGGTATACCTGACAGGAACCTCCGTCCGGCCTCCTCCTTTTGGGGGCCTTACCGGTGGTATTTTTTGCTCAAATTTTTTGTGTATGTTCCTCATCAAGTCTAGTTCATCCATACCAAATTTTTTGTGTATTTTCCGGACCAGTTAACTTGAAAAAATCATTTGACGACCTTCCCGATTGAATTTTCCGCTGAAATTTGGTATGGATGAACTAGACTTGATGAGGAACATACACAAAAAATTTGAGCAAAAAATACCACTGGGAAGGCCCCCAAAAGGAGGAGGCCGGACGGCGGCTCCGGTCAGGTATACCTGACCGGAAGATTACTCATACTCTTTATAATAATACTTAATTAGTTTTACCATTGACCTCTTTTGTGCTCATATATGCTACTCCCTCCGTCCCACTTTAAGGTTCCCACACGATTTACGATGTTCGACTGACCATAAAGTTAATTGATCCATGTGATTAATAGAATTTTTTTTAGTAAATAAAATTAACATATTTAGAAACTACATTTAAACCGCTACAAAACCTGCAAAAAATAATTTAAATTTCATAAATTTTCGATATATAAAGTAAAAGATTAAGAACAATACACATTGACCGAAGAATAGTGTACGAGAATCTTTAAATGGGACGGAGGGAGTACTACATTCCTCCGGCCCAAAAAGCAACTCGTATTTGATCAATCTATACTTAAATTTGGTTGTGTACAACTATCTTATATAGTGGATCGTAATTTAATTTTTAAGTTTATATGTTGGTTTAACTAAAGTTATGATGTGCATAAGCATGTTGTTTGTGACACTTGTTTAGCTTTTTGTCGAATAAAGGGATTTATTGTGACCCCTTTTTTGGACAGATGGAGTATATTGTAACCTAGAATGTCATTAGTGTAGTAATCTCCTGGAATTTGCACATATATCATTAGCATTCTCTAGAACCCACAGAATAAGCACTACAAAAAAACAGCGTTCTAGTCACGGATTTTAGTCACGGATTTTGTCCGTGACTAGTTTGTCACGGACTAGTCACAGATTTAAAAAAAAATAGTCACGGATCTGACCGTGACTATGTCCGTGACTAAGCTTAGTCACGGTATGTTCCGTGACTAAAATCCTCCGATAGCCCCGATTCCGTTTCCGGCATGGTTTATTTTATTCCGGCGATTTAGTCACGGCCAAATTCGTGACTACTAAAAAATTTAATTTTTTAGCGCTCAGAAATTAATTCGCAACAGCATTCTGTACGGATAAAATTAGTCACGGACATGTCTGTGACTAATTCCGTGACTAAATCGTACTTACAAGTCATTTACACGGTTTGGACGCGTAATGTACACGGATTTGATTAGTGACGGACAAATCTGTGACTAAGTCCGTGACTAGATTTTTTATATATGCAGGAGCAACTCATTCGAAAGAACTACATCAATTCATTCCCAGTATATGTTTGAAAGATCGAAGGATGTAGTCTATCTTATGTCATTTTCCCTGTTTATGCAGATAAGGTATGTTATTTGAATTATTAGTTTTATTTAGAATTAGTTGGTTCAATTTAAATTATTAAAACTATTAAATTAGTGAGGTTGTTAATTAATTAACAGTATATTTAACTATAAACGTAGTGATGTCATAAAATTAGTTAAATTTTTAGGTTTATACAATAATTTAATTAAAATTAGTTAGCTAAAATTAGTGATGTGTTAAGTCAAATTAGTTAGCTAAACGTAACGTAGGTTTAAACGTAGTGATGCATTAAGTTAAATTAAGTTAAATTAGTTAGCTAAACGTATGTTTTAGCTAATTAAGTTAAATTAGTTAAACTTTTGATAATATTAGTTAAATTTAAATATTAGTTAATTCAAATGTGTTTAAACAAGGTTGTTAATTAATTAACGAAATGAATTAGTTAAATTTAGTTTGGATTAAAACATTACTTATATTTTGTGCATTATTATTGTGAATTGTGTGCATTTCATTTAATTTAGTGAACATTAGTTAGTTGATTATTTAAAAACAAAAATGTACTTAGTCACGGACGTGTCCGTGACTAAAATAAAAAAATTAAAAAAAAAAAGTAGTCACGGATCTTAGCCGTGACTAATGTGCCAGAGCAGCTATTCCGGTGACAGATTAGTCACGGATCTGGTCCGTGACTAATCCGTGACTACATTTAGTCACGGACAAATTGGCGTGACTAAATTTAGTCACGCCAAAATAGTCACGGATTTAGCCACGGACAAAATCCGTGACTAAAGGAGTTAGTCACGGATTTTTTACACTACGGTCCGTGACTAAATCCGTGACTACAGCCTTATTTTTTTGTAGTGAAGATATACTACGTATGATTTTTATTTTGCCCCCAAAGTTTGCCAACAAAAAGTTAATTAGATTTAAAACTGTCTAGATTTTGTCATAGATCTTGCCTAAGTGAACTTTAGACTTTTGTGTTACATGTTTGTTTCTTGTTTTCGCATCATCTGAATGCTCCATATCATAGTGATTAGTGAAAAAGGAGTCCAGCCAAGCAGTTAAGCTATGAGAGTGTTGTAATATTACACAAAAATTCAATAGGAGTTGTTAAGTGATGCATCTGCCAGCAACAAATGATTTAATTTTACAATGTCTAAATGTTGCCATACATCTTGCTTAAGTGAACTTTGGACCTTGAACTCTAAGTAGGAGGCTAGTCTAGTAAGTAAGTTGCGAATGTTCCCGACATTTACCCCACCGACTTGGGTGGTTTGCCTACTGGGTTTAAAAAAAAAAGTTTTGAAAGTGTTGCAATATTACACAAATTTCAAAACGAATGGTAAAGTCAAACCAGATAGAACCTGAAGCTTCCAGATTCTCTTCTAACAGTTAACATATCTTTGATAATAAACTCTTATATAGACCTTCACTAGCCGATGTTTCCTTGGATGCAGAATTATACAACTAGATTAGTGTTTCAAAAGTTTAAAGTATTCTTACATTATAATACTAATAAATTGATAGATTTATTTATTGTAAGATCAATTTTTTAAGAGCTAGATCACATTTCATGTCAATGTAGTTGGCCATATTGGATATATAGCTTTTCTCTTATATCGACATTTTTTATGCACAAAACTTTATATGGAAATTCAAGCTATTATAAAACTTTGCACGTTTCTCGCTCTTATATTAGCTTCTTGTTATATACTACCTCCGTCCCGAATTGATTAGCAAATTTGACTTTTCTTGGTCAAACAGTTGCGTTTTGTCCACCTAATTAGGATGCCAATTTTTAATTATATTCTAATTTGGAGTTTACAACTTTGAAGAGATTTTGATGTAGTTTATGAATATGTAAATTTTATTTATTAAAAATTAAATTAATTATGCATAAGAAGACGTACCTTCCAATAATTTCGAGATTGACACATATTTACAAATCCAAATGATGCAAAGAATTAAGCATGGCACACAAATGATCGGGTTGTTGACGGAAATCTTCAACAACATACCGATTCACCCCAATGGAAAAAGAAAAACAAATTGAGGTACCGGTGGGCGTAGCTCAACTGGTAGCGAGGGAGTGCCACAAGGGTTAGGTCTCGGGTTCGAATCCCGGCAACTACGATGAGGGGTTACTATGCTGAAAAATGCATAGGGCCTCTGTAAGTACCGGGGACAGAACCTCACTCTCTATCTGTCAGATTGTGATTATAGTCCAATTTACATCCTCCCATCGTGCCGTCCGGTCGGTGTTAGGGGGCCCTCAGGGATGGGGTGTCATCCTTTTTTTTTTTTGAAAAACAAATTGAGGTGTCATTTCCGCATTTCCAGCATTTGATAATGGAAAGTCTGGAATAACCCCTCGTAGTAATCTTATTAGCAAACATCGATTTAGGTAAACATGATCAGATATACTCCAACGAATAATATGGTACTCCTCCGTATCACTTTAGTCAATTAGTTGTCTCACTTTCCTTTTTGGGTGTATCAAATTAATTGTCTCATTTCTCTTTTTGGAAAGAAATCCACAGTACCGATATAGTACCAAAAACTTATTACTCTCTCCGTCCCTATTATATCTTCCAAATGGGTTTGGCACGGAGTTTAAGATAGTGGGTATTGTGTGGTGGAGAGTTGTGCAGAGGAGAGAGAAATGTGTAAGAATTGTTGTGAACCACAAATTCCGGCCAAAAAAGGAAAGTGGAAGTTTTAATTGGGACGGACGAAAAAGGAAAGTTGGAAGTTTATTTAGGGACGGAGGAAGTACTTTTTATAAAGTCTAAAGTAATTATCTTAAACTAAAGTGATACAGAGGGAGTATTTAATATTGAAACCATGGGCAGTCACAAGTTGATAATCATATTTAAAATTTTAAAAAAAAAAACTTAGTATCAATCCAGTAAATTGAACTCTAGACAAGTGTACCTGAAGTGCTACAAAAGACTTGGTGTATCATGTATGCAATCCCATGATTTAGTTCCTCCGCTAAACTCCAAAAAGTGGGGGCTCAGTGGAGCTCTCAATTTTGCGATGCAACCCTTTAGAATTAAGTACGGGTAAATTGCACGAAACCCGGTGTGTTATATAAACTCTGCGCGTTAAACCCTTCTGTTTTAAAAAATGCACGAAACCCTCTTATGTTTTAGTAAACGAAGCACACACGCCCGCTTGATGATGAAAAACTAACGATGTCATCTTTTATTTAAATTACCCGTTACACCCTTTAATTATTTGGTTGCTTGGTCTCCAAAATAAGCTGCTTCCTCCAGCCCTTTCTTCTCCGTATATATCTTCCTCTTTCATGAGCTCCATCTATAGTGCAACAATGGCTTCCCCATCGTGATTTTCGGCCCTTAGAGCATCTCCAATGGTAAATTGTGCACGGTGCACAGGTGGCATGAGATATAACCACATAAATATTAGTAAATAAATTCTTTCTCTTCTTATTTGAATGATTTTATATACTTTTGGTAAGTTTTTCTCCACAATGTCAAGGAGACCGTCTAGATGTTGACATTGTTGTTGACATTGCAGGAAAAAACTTACCAAAATGGTGTAAAATTATTCAAATAAGGAGAGAGATTATTTATTTGATAATATTTATGTGGCTATGAGGCATGCCACATGTGCACCGTGCACATTATAGCATTGGAGATGCTCTTAGCCCAACAAATCCTTTCTTCCTTGGAGATTTTAAATCCTGAACACCAGGTTTACTCAACTTCTTGCGCTCAGGTTTGTTTACTCAACTTCATGCTGTCCATTCAGTCTGGATAAAACCCTTCGCATATTAATATATTGGGTGCATCTTTATATGTAAAGCTAATTAAATTAAGTTTAAGCATGATTCTTAATTTTGCAAGTATTCTTTGAAGGAATAAGTAAGAGTTTCAATTGGAAGTCATAAATTAGGATTTACTAAATTTGATATTTTATACATATACTCCGTAAATTAGGGTCACTTTATTTGTACTTTCAGTTTCTTTTGTGTCCAGTACTCCAATTAGTGATTGCTCACTATCTTGAACTTTTTTTAATGCTTCCAGTTATCTTACATTTGTCGAAGTTTTTTTTTAAGTTTACCATGTTTTTTACTAACACATTCACACTGCTAAGGGAGCCCATATATACACACTCTGCAGTGTTAGGTTTTATTGGCTATCTATCCTTAGGGTGTGGCTATTAATGGAATCATGATTATAATAATTCTCATCCGTGTTCCATTTGGGTGCTAATGTCATAAAGGAGTAGCCGAATCAGTTCAATTTGTGAAGTAACAAATGTGACTTGTATTTTTGCATGAATTGTAGCCTTTAACACTTTTTAGTTTTTAACAATTAATTGACTCCACAATAGAAGTTTGGAATTGTTTAGAAAGTTGGTTACTTTTGCTTATTATAAACATGTTATCAAATATGATTTGTGTGTGTGTGGTGCAGCACAGTTCAATTCCAGTAGGAGTTTGAGTTATGTGTGCAATTTATGTATGTTTAATGTGAGATTTTCCTTAATGTGTACAACAAGGAAAATGTCTGGTGAAGTTCAAATTGAAGACCCATCATTGCAGTCTCAAGATGAGCAAAATGATATTGGGAATGACTCCAGTAATGCTTCTGATTCTGATGTCTCCTCATGTCCCTCTTGGGCACTTGAGGACATGGAGGGACCTGATGATGATGACATATTTACTTCAAGGGATCCTGATCATTGCAGAAAAGTATTTGAGTATGCTAGAAATTATGTGAAACTTTAAAAAATGAAAAGAAAACATGTTAGGGATGCTGATGAAAGAAACAGAGTCAAAGAACGGGAAGAATGGTGCATTGTCGATGAAGTTGAAGATTTACAGGATGGTGAATTTGAGTGGGATGAAAGTGTGGACATGAGAACCTTTGAATTAGCTGCTGGACAGAGGTTCCCAGATAGGAAAACTTTCCAAAAGGTTCTTAAGGATTGGTCGGTTAGGACTTAGGAAAGGATATGACCTGAAGTACCCAAAGTGTGAAGCCAAATTTATAACTGCTGTTTGCAAGGGTGGTTGTGACTGGAAATTGAGAGCTTCAGTCGTACAAAAAACGACAACATTCCAGGTTAAAACTCTTATTGGAAAACACACTTGTTCCTTTAGGACAGAGAATAATCAAGCAGATTACAAGTACCTTGGGCAGAGGATGTTAAATGATGTTAGGGATAATCCTAATAGCAGCTTGGAAGCTCTCAAAAATAAAATAAAAACAGATTGTGGAGTTGAAGTTAGTTTCCATAACGTTTATCGGGCTAAGAGATATGCATTATCTTTGCTTACAACTGACGTCAGTATGCAGTTTAAAAGGCTTTATGATTATTGTGCCACTGTAGAGAAGCACAATCCAAAAAGTTCACTAATCTTGAATGTTCAAAGATCTCTTAGTCCACCAAAATTCCAGAGAATGTATATGTGTAAGATGTGTGGTAACCTTGGCCACAATAAAAGAACTTGCCCAACAAAACCTGCAACTCCAACTGAAGAGGAAGCTCAGCCTACTGAAGAGGAAGCTCAGCCTAGAGAGGAAGTTGGACTTAGACAAGAAGATGAACTTGGTAACTCTGGAGTTGAAGACAATGCTTTGATACCCTTTATTTCATCGCCGGTAAGTGATGCCTATAACTTTTGTTATAATTTACTAATTTTTTCTAATTTCTAAGTTTTAATTTTATCATATGTGGTACTTGCGATTTATTATTTTTCAGAACACACAAGAAACTCTTGGATGTGTGGTGGTAAACCCTACTCAAGCTACAGCACAGACCTCACAGAAGCATCCAAGAAAGCAAGCTAAGCCGCTTAGAATGATGAAATCATTTCAACCTGCACCTCTGCTCAGAAAAAACAGCCGTGTTTAAGGCATAACTTTATCATCTATGTTCACAAAATCCTAGAAATAGTTTGAAAAGAAAAACAACTTTTTGTTTAAACTAGAATATCTTGTAGTCTTGTACTCTTACATTATTTTTGGCCTCAATTGTGAATCAACGTACAAGGTGCTTTTGTAGTAATTTTTGTTAAACTATGAATCCTAAAGTTCTTTGGTTATGTATTGTACTATTTTTGCTACTTGCTGCATTTCCCTGGCCATCTATTGCAGTTTTTCCTAGTGTTCCATGTTTTTTTATATGTTGGTACTTGGTTGCTGTTTTTTCAATGAACCGTTTTTATTACTTTTTTATTAGGATGGTTAGTGATGTTGTTCTTTTTACTATTTGTTGAATTTTTTAGTAGTTTCACTTAATCTGTTAAGTTATGTTGCTGCTAGGTTCTTCATAATTGGGGTGTCTTTTTTATTCTATGTTAGTTGCTATTTTTTTACTTGATTATGCAATAGTTGCTGCACTTTTTTATGTGTTGCAGTTCTCTGTTTGATGTATTCTTTAGGTGGTTGATATGGTGTATTATTTTGTTGTTTGCTAATTCAAATTATTTTGTTGTTTAGAAAAATGTACTCTTTGGCTCATTGATCACCAAATGTCTGCTATTTCCAATTGTTTTACTACTGCTACTTTCCTTACTTTTGTGTGTTTTCATATTGGAGTTCGTGAATTTTTTTATGCAGCAAGTTATGTATAAAACAAATTGCAAATCAGGCCATATTTGTTTAAATAATGTTCAATATTGTATACTTACTATTTTTTAATAAATATATTCAAATCATGAAACATTAAAATATTAGAAAAATAAGATTTATAAAACATACGTTATTGCTAATGAAGCCTTTTAGAAAAGAGATAATGAATAAATAAAAGAAAGCAACGTAGTATTTTGCTCTATATTTACTAAGGCCAAATAGAAAAAATCCGTTTGCAAAAGCGCACAAAAAGCGCGTGCAAGACAAACACACTTACTTTTCCGTTATTAGGCATCTTGCGCATCATTTTTTAAAACACAGAGGTTTTTCGTGCAGTTTTTAAAACATAAGGGTTTATCGTGCAGACTTTTTATAACACAAGGGGGTTCTGTGCAATTTACCCAATTAAGTACACTAGGATAAATATACTTACTCTACATGTGGCGTTAAAATCTTCGCAGATATATACATATCCGGCTAAGATTTAAAAAAAAAAGGCCTATAAAACACTACCTTTGCCTATAAACACATCTGGTAAAACAGGCATATGGCTTCATCATCAGATGTTGATTGTTGAGAATGCTTCACTGCCTTTGCCTTCTTCCTTGCTGCCGAATGAGGTATACCCGCCCATAAACCCATTTCTGCCTACCATGTCTAGAAATGGACTGCTGTAAAATGTTGAAATTGTATTAACTCCAACAGGGGAAAATGGCTTTAAGCTTAGCATAGAGATGGCAGATGTGAGATGTGGTATCAGCTATGTTCGATCTTTTTTCTTTCTTTTTTGAAAGGGAGAGAGAAGGAAAACCCCAATAGGCCAATACCATCAGGCTTTACTATTCCTCATGGTACCTCAACTACCTGAGGAGTTTTCTTTTCTATTCATTTCCCAACAGTACACATCAAGCTTTAAAAATTAATGTGCCAAATAAGTGTTGAACAAATAAAAATCTTAAAACACAATTGAAGTGGCACTTTTATATTCTTAAATCAGCCACTAAAAATCTCAACATGCGTTGAACATATAAAAATAGGGAAAAGTGCCAAATAAGCCCTTTTACTAATCCAAAATCACCACCTTAGCGCAGGTACTAAAGAAGTATCACACATTTAAAGTTTACTCCTAAAACGCAATTGACCGGATAAACAACCTACAATAGCAGGACCCTCGCGTTCTTGTCTTTTTTGCTTTTGAAAATCTTTTTCCATTTCCCTTCTATTATTCTTCCGTCCACTGCTGGAGCCTGGAGGGACGGTCCTGCAGTGGTAAGAGGGCCAAGAGAGAAGAAAGAAAAAGAAAAAAAGGAAAAGAAGGAAAAACAAAAAAACAAAATGTGCTGCCAAATAAAAAGATCTTTATTTTTTCTTCATTCTCTCTTCCCAATTAGTGTTTGCACTTAGCAGGACTTGCTTTTTTTCTTCCTTTTTTTGTTCCTTGTTTCTTTTTCCCCTTATTTCCTTTTCTTTTTCTTCTTTTTAGAGAGAAAAGATGGAACAAAAAAGGTGAAAAAAAGAAGGAAAAAATTAAGTTTGATGAAGTGCAAACACATGTTAAGATGAGAGAAATGAGAATGTATAAAAATACAAAGAAAAGAATTGACAGGTGTGCCTGTTTCAGCTGAAAGAAGAACCTTTTCCTTTTAAATTTCTTTTTCCATTTCACTTTTATACTTCTTCCTTCTCTTGCCACTGCACCCCTAGGAGTGCAGCATGTTTTGTTTTTTTGTTTTTCCCTCGTTTTCCTTTTTCCTTCTTCTTCCCTCTCTCTTGGCCCTCTTACGGTCTTACCACTGCAGGACTGTCCTTCCAGCAGTCCAGCCAAAAGAAAATCTTTATTTTATCTCCATTCTCTCTTCCTAACTTGTGTTTGCACTTAGCAGGACATGCTTTTTTCTTCTTTTTCTTGTTCCTTGTTTCTTTTTTCCCTTTTTTCCTTTTCTTTCTTCTTCTTCTTTCAAAGGAAACAAAGAACAAAAAAGGAGAAAACAAGGAAGAAAAAATTAAGTCTGATGAAGTGAAAACACATGTTAAGAAGAGAGAAATGAGAATGAATAAAAAACAAAGAAAAGAATTGGCTGGTGTGCCTGTCACAGCTGGAAGAGGACGAGCAGGAAGAAGAAGAAAACTTAAGGAAGGATGAAAATGAAAGAAAAAACAAATAAATGGTTTACCCAAGAGTGAAGGAGGAAGAGAAGGAAGAAGCAGAAGAAAAAGGAAAGGACAATAAGGTGAAGGCAAAAATCTATTGACCTGCTATTGCAGGTTGATTTTTCTCGACATGAATACAAAAAGAAACCATAACAAAGCCAAATTTTAGTCTGAAGTACGAAGCCAAATTTTAGTCTGAAGTACAAAGCCAAGAACACTATGAGTTTATGTACCTCAACTTTCAGGCGAAATTCTAGCATGCTGTCACATACATGACACTCCGTTCTGTGAGGACACTGATTCGACTGATTTTGTCTTACAAAAGCAAACACCTGCAGTTGATGCTTGAAGCTGTAATGACTGAACTCAAAATGTAATGATAGTCTTGATTCAATAAAGAAACAAAAGGAAACACGATATGCATCACCTCATCACCACAGTTTGGACATGCACCTTTAAGTGCAACCAAGTCATTTTTCCACAGCTCTCGTAGTGCTCCAGCTGTGAGAAATTCTTGAGTTATAGACCACAAGAATCTTAAGTACTTAGGGATCCATTTGGGACCCATAAAATGCTATTGAAAGAAAGTAGAGGTGAAATTCGTAAAAACCCGATATTAGGGGGGTCGTTTAATGTTTAAACTAAATATATTCATTCAGTGTCATTTTACTTATTTATTTTTATCATTTTATTTATATATTTCTATTCTGTAATGACTGAAATTTAAAGTATGTAAAAAAAATCATATCCCAAGAGATTTACTATTTTCTTATGCATTTTTTCCTGTCCCTACTATTTTCACATCCCAAACATAACAAAAAAGATTTCAATGTTCATTCCATGCAAGTAGTGCCTGACATTAGAATATATAGTAAGACATGCACACCGCATTGTTTGAGTGAGCAATATTATAACTTCTTTCCATCCACAAGTGTGTGCCTGTGTGGCGTATAATATATCTGCAAGTTACATCATTGTATTCATAGACAAATTGGGCACCACATGGCATACACATCACATATTTTAAAACTAATGTTTATTAAGTACAGAACGCTCTAAAGATTCTAAATTAAAGCAAACTGAAATGATTTCTAACCTCTAGAATCTAAATGACAACTTTACCATGTAACAAGCCTTAAAGATTCATCATTTATCTAGATAGTTACTTAGGAAACTCATTATCACTCATCAACAAAAAACTGAAGTTAAAATGAAAGCAGACCAATTAATTACCAGACGCTGAAGCAATGGGATACCCTATGATGGACCCTAACACCATGTAAAGTATGCCATTAAGCATGGTAAGAAGCTGCAGTGAGGATGCTTGACTCGTGAAGGGCATTTCTGAAGTAAATGCATCACGATAAGCTTGACTTAGAGTGTATATTATAGGCACAAGCAAGACTGAACCTCCAAGACCTAGAATCAGGAGCCATATGCTTGCTAGTGCAAAAACCTGTGATGGGTCCTCCTGCCCTACATCAACGTCACTCAATATTCAAGTGGAGAAAATAGCCTATTCTTCTACTCATTAAAATGATGTAGCACGGGAAATGATAAACTGTGACAATGTACTGAAGCAGTAAAGCACACGCTGCAGTGCTTTGCATATTGCATTACAAGTATATATTCAATTGTAATCAGAATACATCTACAAAAAAACTTGACCTCCCTGTTTATTATTTCTCTGTTCTTCTAGAGATTACATGCTTACTGTCATATATCTTGTTGAAAGACACTAGAATTCTAAATTATCTCTCAAATGGAGCAGTATGAATACTTTACTATGGGCCAAATGATGCATATTTACTAAAATGCAAATCCAATAATATTAAGCATAGTAAGACTTCAATTCAAGTGAAATGAACAAGAAACTTAGGGAGTACTTGGTGTGCCATAATGAGGGAATGTGAGTGTGGAATATGAATGGGAGAGAACTAAAGGCACTATTTTCACAAATGGTGTTCGGCATACCAAAATGGGCACCGCAATATCCTGGTACTTCCCTTTATCATTTTCACTATCCTTGTAGAATTTCAACAAATAGCCCCTACATCATATGATCTACTTGTCTTATTTTGAAAATTCAATATCTTCAAGAAAAAACTTTGGATGTGGAAGGGTGGTCGATCAGAAAGTATAGAAAGTCAAAACTGAGGTAAGCTATCTTTTTATGAACTCAGTACACTCTCCTCTCCTCAAATGATTCAAGATCAGTGTGAAAAATAATTACCAAACACCCAAGAAATAAATGATATAACCAGCTAAAATTAAAATCACCTGTGCATCGGCATAAGTTGATTGCCGGCTAAGACTGCAGCGAGGGTACTTGACAACACATTTTGAACCATACCGACGTAGTTTCAACTGTCACAGCAATTATTCAGCATTAGGGCAAATAAATAGTCGGAGCAAAACAAAATTTTTGTAGTTGTAGCATACAATGTGTACACCTAAAAACTTACCTCAACTCTATCAAACATATCGTCAAATATCAGCGGTGACCCACTGTAATATGAATCCCTTGCCTAAAACAAAATTACAGAATTAGGAAAATATGAATAAATCTAGTTTACCTAATTTCGGAGTATAAATTTTCCAACAAACAACAACAACATCCAGCCTAGTCCAGCCTTAGTCCTAAAAGAGTTTGAAATCGGCTAACATGAATAGACACATGAAATCGGAGCTAAAAAGATAAAGATAAAATTTTCCCAACATTGCAATACATTAAAAAGCAAGTTTCTGTAACTACATAGGAATTAGTTAATCAAGTACAAATTATAATCGAATTGACGCATGCGAATGTGTTGAGGTCCGAACGCATACGACATCAATACTGGGATTACAGGAAACAACAAGATGTGCTCATTCAAAGGAGCTTACTTGACGGTAGAGAGCTTCTAGGGTCGCTTGACTAGCTGTCTCTATAGGCCCGACAAATATGCACGACGGGCCTTGAGGCATCTCGAGCTCGTCGCAAGCAGCGATGATGCCGTGGCTCCGGGCGGAGATACGAGCGGGAAACGGAGCTCGAGAGCGGGATGGCCTGGACAGTTCGACGATCGTGGATCCGGCTACATAATGACAGACAGCCATACAGAGCTCCGGCGGAATTCAAAGGCTGTAACCAAGCGGTGGCATCAAGCGGCTCAGGCGTGTGTGATTGGTGGTGTTTGACGTGTAAGGGTGATTCGCTTCGGCAGGGCAGGTGGGTGACGGAAACGTGACTTCAAATAGTTGTGCCGATAAAGTAGCACTTTCGTTATCAGGATCTAGACACTTGTACAGTTGTACTACGGGAGTACAGTATTAAACAACTTATTAGAAATAAATATAGAACTACAGAAGACAACAAAAAAATAGGCAAAAAAAGTAGAATAATTCATACTTTTAGGAATTTTATAATAATAATACCTCTATTAAGAGTGTCTATAAAATTAATCTGAACTAACAACAATGTTCACAAAAATAAATGTGGGTGAATTCAAATTTATGCCCGTTTGATACTATTAATCTCTACTCTCACTTTGCTCTTTACCGCTCTTCTTATTGAAGTGGATTAAAGTTGTCAATAAAGTACTGATCAGGTAGAAGAGGATTTCTCTGGATCATCAATGCCTTCAAATTCTCAAAAGAATTAGGTACTCTTCAAGAGATCCTGTCTGAAGCAATTTATTGAATTATTCAACTATATATTGATTCCTATATCTTCTTTGAAACGAGCACATATATCCACAACCAATTCTTCCCATTCCACAGATTTTTTAACTGACAAATAGCTATGAAACCACGCTTCTAGGGTTACAAATCAACTGTATGCTCAACAGGAACATTACACAATTTGAAATAGTGTTGACACTTTTTCATCCACATTCTAGGGTTACAACTGTCAAAAGTAAGGAATTCCCACTTAGGAGTAAATCCTAAAGATCTATGAGTAGTTTGATGATGAATACTTGGTATTAAAGAAGTTTTGCCCTCTTCTTCTGTTAGGATACCTTTCTTCTTCTCTTTATCATTCAATTGCTTCATAATTTCCACCAGAACTGAAGATTGTTCTCCAATTTCTTCTCTAAATTGTTGATTTTGTACTCCATGATATTCTTGAGCTGATGAACCCTAGTATTAATTGAAGGTGCCAGATTCTCAGTCGTCAAATTGAAAGTAGTAGCCAGCAGATTACTTCAGGAGTCGGAAGAGCTCTGATACCAATGATGCAGGATGCATGAAGGTGCCCATATAATGAAGAAAGAGATCTTCGAGAGTTATACATAATCCAAAATGTAAACAGAGATAGGGAAGAGAGAGTGTAATGATTGGAAGAGAATGAATGCGATTTCTTATTCATGATGAGGTGTTCGATTGTACATTTATAGTAATTGTTGTATTTGACTTAACAAACTAAGTCAAAACAGAATATAACTGATCCTAACTGATCAACTAATTACAACGGTCATTATTTAATATGCAGCTATATCACCAAACGAGGTCGCCTTCTCCGCCGAACATCCGCCGCCACAGATCCGCTCCAGAGGATGTCCGCCGCAGCAGCTCGTCCGTTTCTGCTCATCTGTCGCCGAAGCTCGTCCGTCACTGCAACTTGTCCGTCGCCGCAACTTGTCCGTCGCCGCAACTTGTCCGTCTCCCTTTGTCGTTCGCCACCTGCCGCCGCTCTTAGTCTCCGTCCACCATCTACCGCCGCTCTTAGTCTCCGTCCACTGTCTCTGGCTTTGTTGGTTAGTATCCCGCTTCACAACATATTTCAAGGTATTTATGTATTTGTCATTTTAATAAGTTTTGTGTAATTAATTTTGATTCATTTTTGTTAGAGAGGAATATATATATTTTTTATTGGTGTTATCGGTGTTGTTTTAATTTGTGTTAGTATTTTTCATTTTAATAGATGTGTAAATTGAATGAAATTATTGATTCAATATTAGTATTAAATTGAATTTTAATTTAAGCTAATATTCGAATTTATTACCTTCTTTTTTGAAGAAATCTTTTGTAAGTAAGGACAAGTACCAATGGTAAGGTATTCCCCTTGACTAACATGGTTTGAAGTGTTACTGTACTAAAGCAGGTGCATAATAATACTTATGAATTTTCTTAATTGATTTTGTAATAAATGTATTCAAATCATTGAAAGTTATCTATAGGATAAGTCATTTTTGAGTGGTATACATGTATAGTAATTGTAAATTTTTAATATTTTAGGTTTACCAGGGCACCCGAAGAGATGAGTTTTTTTCAAGTGATGAAGAATTGAAAGTTCGCGATGTGTTGGTCATATAAGTGTGTGATGATTTATTGTAAACTTTTAGTGCTGATAAACTTACATAAGGCAGTAACTTGTATTGTATACCTTATGAATTTTAGTGATGTATAACTTAATATGTTTTGAAATTATGGTTTTGATCGATGAGATACGTAGATTGTCGAATGGAATTGTTTTTTATTTTGTAAAATAAGAAATATTTTAGTAAAAATCAGATTTATAAATTTTGGTAGTGCCAAAAAACAAAAATAATGCACCAAAAAAACAATGTTTTAGAGAGTTTTTGCTGCGAAATTGATAGTTATTTGCTGCGGTTCAGAACCGTAGCAATGAGTCAAAACCCATGTTTTTGTTGATCCCTATTTGCTACCCTGCCAATTGTTGCGGTTCATAACCGCAGCAAATAGGTAAAAATGACCGCAACAAATATATATTATTCGAGTAGTGATTCAAATTTGAACTGTTAGGAGGCTGGCACAATAAGCAAATATCAAACTCATCTTTATGTGAGGTCTCTAAAAATTCAGCACCATTGACATTAATATGGGGCTTCACATTATCTTGTTGGATATATATACTTCCTCGGTTTTTAAATAAGTGCAATAATCAATATTTCACACTTGTCGAGACACAACTTTGACCATTAATATATATAATTCTTTATTAGTAAAAAATTTAAAAAAAAATAAGATTTTGAAAATCTACAATGAAACAAATTAATTAATATTTTTTTCAAAAAAAATATATTAATACATCAATAAATAAAATGTAGTCAAAGTAGAACATGCGAATAGTGTAAAATCTAACATGTTGCACTTATTTAAGAATGGAGGTAGCGTATAGTTTTTGAATCGCTTGAAGACCATTTCCTCCTTCTGGCAGACAACATATACTCAATTAGCCATCTCCTAGTAACATCTTTAGTTACAGATTGAATTGGTTTAATTTCTAATGTACCAACTTCTCTATTCTTACTTCAATGCTCAACAACTTCCTTATAGATGCACGAAAATATGCCAATGTTTTCGTCTAAAATCACATTTTTCTGTATCAAACTGAGGTCAAGCAACAACGCATAGAAACACGATTTTTGTGATAAACTTTTTACTCTCACACGTGCGACAAGGTTCATTATCATCCGGTTGTAGATAATATTTTTGAGAACATTTTGAAAGGAAGAACCGCTTTTTGTCAATATGAACACGATCATACATATCTATGAAAATGGACTATTGGGACATGAATTAGGATCAATCATGGATATGCAATAGTCTTACCTTCTGATTTTCACTGGCCAATGTTGGCTTTATATTTTATAACATATATCGAGCCCTCAAACATCCTTCCTTGATTCTCCTATGAAGACTTGGTTTTGACATGTTAAGTGCAATAGCTGTGCAGCGAATGATAGTCCGTTTCTTTATAGGAATTCTGCCAACACAATTCTTGAAGTTAAAGCTTTATGAATAGCTATGTCAAATACTTTGAATATGCAATTTTAGATGAGAAAAGAAAGAGAGAATTTAATTAGCTGATACTACTATGTATGTATTAAAGGTTTGACACGTGTTTATGGTAGAGGTAGTCATTTTACCGCTGTAAAATTTTTAACATATGAGGCGTCTGTGTACTACAAGGAGGCTAAAAAATGAATATAGGTAGCTTCTCACATCTTTTATTAAAATCTTTGGCCAACGGAGTGCATATTATATTTCGGGACTGAGGGAGTAGTTATTATAATTTATTGATTATATTTCGTCTATACATTTTATACGTGTATTCATATATTCATGTGTGAGACTAATTAAAGTGTGTCACTTATGGTTGCACAAAAAAGGAATATGGATGTGTCTTTCTATCTCACTCTAAACTATAGTTAAAAAATAGAATATTGGTGACATGACAAGCTAATATAACACACTTCCAAACCCCTAAAACCCATTAATCTAAGAACTTTTTTAAATATGAAAAAAAACTCCCAAGTTCCCAACACATAGTTAGGGGTGTGCACCGGTCCAAAACCGTTTCGGACCGGAACTGGAATCTGTATTTTGGATGGACCGAAGACCGGACCTGATAACAATCGGTCCAAACCGGTCCGGACCTGTTCATTCCAGGTCGGTCCGGTTTTAGACCTGATTGGACCGGTATTAAAAATGCACTTTAGTTTTTGATTTTTTTGAAGGCATAGATGTGTTTCATCCTTATTCCCTATTAGTGCAAAGCCGCAACTTAAGTTTATACTACGTATAGCGGTATAACTCAAGAATTGGACACTAAATGTTTCCAATTCTTTATAACTCAAGATTAAATATTTCCTAAGACAACAACTCCCAAAAAGCATTACAAATATTACTATCACTGCTTGCTATCTTTAATCTTTAAGAATAAAAGAATGGAGTCATGCAACAATTGTTCATTGTCCGTTACGATGTAAAAAACATAATAACAAACAGTAATGTTTTTTTGGATAAAATACCAGTGTAACACTAATACAGATAAAATAATAGTACTAATCGGGTTACCGGTCCGGACTTGTTTTTTCCGGGTTTGACTCGGACCGGACCGGACTGGAAACCGGAATCTCAATTTTCAATGGATCGGAGACCAGACCTGTATACTTCAGACAGGTCCAGACAGGTCCATTCCGGTCCGGTTCAGGTTCAAAATGCGGTCTGGACCGGTTTATGCACACCCCTATACACAGTACAAATTGAGAGTCCAAAACTTGTTTCAACTTTCAAGCCCACATAAATTGTTTATCAGACTGAAAGACCAATTGTAACCTGAACCCGAAACCGTATCCGATGATATTCATGCGGAAGCCTTCACTTCCATTTGTCTAGTTTCGAACTTGCAGGTCAGTAGCCGCTTCAAGACATGTCTTGAACTCTTGTGTCCAATTCGAGAAGAATCTCAATCACTGTCACTCGCGTACGCAACTCATTAGAATCCACACTTCAGTTCGCAAACCGTGAAAAATGTCAGGAGGGTTTTTCCGGGTACGAGTTGC